AAAAGAAGAAGGGGATTGGCGAGGAAGAAGAGCTGGCAGCCATAGCTGACCGGGGAGTTGATCGAGAGGGTTGACCGGGGGTGTTGACCGGTGTTACTAGAGTTGACCAGGGGTTGACCGAGGGTTGACCGCAAAGTTGACCGGCGTTGACCAAGACTTTGACTAAGCTGGAGTTGGTAACATCTCGCCAAGCCCTTAGCCTACCCCTTGCCCTATGGATGTGCACATACCCATTGGTACTTGCTGAGTACAGTCTGTCTGTCTATTCTTTCTGCATTGAGTCTCTTCTGTCCTAGGTCATAGTACTCTGTGGATGAAGGATGGGGCTTGGATGACGAAACCCTAGTTTGACCTTGTAGGGCTAAGACTGTGGCTGATCCAACTTTCCGGGGGGGTATAACCCTCCCAAGGACCGGTGCTGACCGGCTGGAAACGGTTGGTAGGACTCAGTGGGCCTGAACGGCAGTTAGGGCTGACACACCAGGCAGTCTTTAAGTGTTGAGGGCCTGTTTGAACCACTCCCCTACCGGGCCAAATAAGGCCGAGGATCTGTGTCTGACGACTCGACTGTCCCAGAGGTCAAACCCTCCCAAGGACCGGTACAGACCGACGGGCTGCTCGGTGTGGCACAGTAGGCCGGGAAGGCTGAGTTGTGGGCTGAAAGCATAGGCAGAACCAAGCTGATCATGTCGTCCTGTTCGCGACGTTAGAGAATTCTTGAGGAGTTAGGGGGACCTCCTTAAATGCCTCCTGATCAGCCACTGGTTCAGTAGTGACAGCCATAGCATAGGTCTAGGCTAGAGACCATAGTTGACAGGGTCCTTGTCAGGATTCTGTGGGTTCTTAGATTGAGTGTATAGGTTTGTCAGTCAGGGGTCAGAGCCTACGTGGTGAGGTGTGGAACCACTAACCCGGTTGTACACTTATCACCATGGTTGGGACCCGTAGTGGGTTAGAGACTAGCCCCTATAGTAAGGAGCAGCAAGAAAAGATGGCCGCCTTAGTCCAAGAGAATAGGGAGAGGAAAGAACGTGAGAAGCAAGGGAAGCTCAAGGCTATCACAGACGAGCGGGCGGCAAAGATGAAGGAAGTGGAGGAGGGGATGAAGAAAAAGGAGAAGGCTGCTAAAGAAGAAGCGTTAGCAAGAGAAAAAAAGGAGAGGATGAGGATCGAGAGTGGAGAAGGGAGCAGCGGTGGCACGATGAAGAGGGAGATAGATGCGGACATTGAGAAGAAGATAAGCGAGTGGGTTGCTAATTTATCGTTGGGGGAAGACGAGGAGGTGGAGTCATATCTGACTGAGGATGAGAAGGCCGCACAGGCTGCTGAGTTAGCAACCATGACGGATCCTATGGAGCGAAGAGAGAGGGAAGACGAGCATAAGTTACAATGAAAGTTGAGAATGAAGAGGGAGAAGAGAAGGAGGAGAGAAGAAGTGAATAAGATGACCGCAGCAGTGGCAAAGGTGTAGGAGTGTAGAGCGGAGGTGCTGGCCCAGCCAGATGATAAGGCTAAGTGGGACAAGGTACTGGGCTACCTAGAGGTGTTGAGCAAGGCCTGGATGGAGGAGCACCAGGCAAGTTGGAGCCAGGATGTAGCGTTGAGTGCCATGCGGTCCGGTTTCAGGGATTTTGCGCGCGCAATCGTCACCCACATTGGGGGCGAAGTCAAACAGTTGAGGGACAATGTAGGAAAGTTATGTGAAGGCGCCATTGAAGGTGCAAAAGCCATAGCTGCTGTAGATGGCGAGGCCAGACCCCGTAAGGAGTCTGTCAAGCTCAAGTTCCCAGACGCGTACGAGGGAAAGAAGGACGAGAACTTTGACAACTGGGAGGCCAGTGTCAATAGTTACATTTATTTACAGCATATCCTGATAGAGGAGCAAGTCCTCGTGGCCTTCCAGGCCCTGAAGGACGAAGCGGCTAGCTTCGCCATGTCCCTTGCGCGCGCAGCCGGTTGTGAAAACAACTTGGTTGCATACTCCAAAGTCACCCCCCTCTCTCTGTTCCTCAAGCTCCTTAAGGAGCGATTTGCTGACCCAATGCGAGGCGTCAGAACCTCAGATAAGTTGCAGACAATCCACTCACGACAATGGAGGAGTGCCAAGGCACTCAAGGGTACCATGGACGACTTAGTAGCCGTCCCGGACCATGGGGTCACTGAGCCCCAGCTGGTCCAGTTGTTTTATCGTGCCATGCCAGAGGCCCTACGCGGGCATTTCTTTGACAAGTCTCAGCAGGCCAGCATCACTTATGATGCATTGAGTAGAGAAGTCGTCTTGTATGAGTCGAAGTCTATGCTAGTTACCACTTTCTGGCATAAGGACCTGGAGAAGGGGAAGAAGTGGAAGGATCGTACCATCTCAGGCCAAGTCAAGGCCAAGGATCACTTGATCCTGACATTAGAGGAGGGTGGTACAGAAGAGGTCCCATATGATCAGATTGAGTGGGGCATAGGGGAGGAGGACAGTAGTGTAGGGCAGGGGAGGTCTTACGCTGCTGTCGCGGCTGGAGGAAGGCCGCAAGGTAGAGGAGGAGGCCATGGCCAAAGGGGTCAGGCCATGGGAGGCCGAGGACCGGGCGTGCAAGGGGTTGGCGGCCAAGGAAACCGCCAAGTGGGAGGTAGGGGTAAGATCCCCCGCCAAATCGCCAGGGTAATCGGTCCCCACAGCGTAGAGGTGGAAGGGCACCTCAAGGAGGATGGCACCCAGGCTTGCCACAGGGCAGGCCTTGGGAAGATCTGGGCTTGGACCAACGATTATGGCAGGAACGCGTGAACATGGGTCAGTGCGTATTTTGTGGTGACCCGGCGCACGTTATTAAATATTGTCCTAAGTATAGACAGGCCCGTTGGGCTACCCAACAGTCAAAAGGCAGCCGCCAGTAGGGGTCGCAACTGCCCCTACTTCCAGGCCATGTGGAGACGTGAGCGCGCACGAACAGGACACTCCCAACCCACATGAGCCTATGGCAGAGGTTGCGGGCCCGTGCCTAGATAGTTGTCCAGAGACTACTTGTGTTAGCATCTCTTTAGGCACGTCCCTCACAGGTGTGGCAGAAGAGTTAAAGGAGAGGATGCCAGCCTGGGCCAAAATGAAAAGGGAGAGTAAGGGACAACTGATTTTGGTAGATGTGGAGGTATTTAGAAGTAGAGTAGGGGCCTTTATAGACTCAGGGGTTACCCGTAGTTACATTAGCCATAGGGCGCTGAAGAAGCTGAGGCTAGGACTAAAGGTCCAGAAGTTAGTAGACCCCATAGTCAGTGTCCTCGCAGACAACCGCGTGATGCGAGTTGAGGACTACGTAGAGGGAATCCAGGCGTACTTTCGCCTAGAGAAGAATGAAAAAGTGGAGAAGGTCCTCCATTCTTTGACTCTCCTTGTGCAGGATGACCTTCCTTTTGATGTAGTTTTATGAATGGATTTGGGAGAGGCAGCAGGGGCCACACTCCATTTGAGAGAGCATGAGTGTAGGCTCCCTAGTCCGTCAGGCGAGGCTAAGACTGCCCGCTTGTTCCATGTATCTGGTATAGACAACACCTTGGCACATTGCTGTTTCAGTGCTCCTGCATTCGCGCGATTAGTCAAAAAGGAGCAGTTAGAGGAACAGGTCTTTGTAGTTTATGTTAGACCTGTCACCAAGGCCCAGGAAAAGGATAGTTCCACAGATCCAACAATTGTCAAGCTGCTGGAAGAGTTCAAAGATTTGACTGAGTCCCCGACAGGAGTAGTGCCGCGACCTATCCAGCACAGGATAGAGATAGAGCCTGGCAGTAGAACTCCTAAGGGTGCAATCTACAGGATGTCCCCTAGAGAGTTAGAGGAGCTTCGCAAACAGTTAGACGAACTCCTTGAAAAGGGTTGGATCAGGCCCAGTTCGTCTCCTTCTGGAGCACCTGTCTTGTTTGTCCCCAAGAAGGAAGGAGAGTTGAGAATCCGCATAGACTATAGGGGATTGAACGCAATTACTGTGAAGAATGCTCAGCCACTGCCCAGGATAGATGATCTTCTAGATTGGGTGGAGGGTTGCAAGTATTTCTCCAAAATAGACTTGAAGTCCGGATACCATCAAATAGAAGTTCATCCTGATGACCAGTACAAGACTGCATTCCGGACTAGATACGGGCACTATGAGTTCATAGTGATGCCCTTTGGACTAACCACCGCGCCAGCTACCTTCCAGCGTTGTATGAATGACCTGTTTAGACCATGGTTAGATAAGTATGTAGTAGTCTATCTAGATGATATTCTAGTTTTTAGTAAGACCCTCCAAGAGCACCAGGGTCATCTGAGGCAGGTCTTGGAGAAGCTACGAGAGGCTAACTTCAAGATCAACGCAAAGAAGTGTGAGTGGGCCAAAACACAAGTTTTGTACTTGGGCCACGTGTTGGACGGAGATGGCATTAAGCCAGAGGACAGCAAGATAGCGGCAATTAGAGACTGGCCGACGCCCCGCACGTTGACAAAGTTGTGGTCGTTCCTAGGCTTAGCTAACTACTATAGGAAGTTCGTGAGGAACTTCTCCACTATCGCCGCCCCCTTGCGCAGACTGCTAAAGAAAGAGGCAATCTCCCAATGGGACAAAGACTGTACGTCTGCGCTGAAGAAGTTAAAGCGCGCGTTAATAGAATATCCCGTCCTCAAAGTAGCAGATCCGTCCTTGCCATTTGTCGTTACCACGGACGCAAGTCAGTATGGGATAGGCGTCGTGTTGCAGCAAGACGACGACAATGGCTATAGACCCGTAGAGTTCATGTCAGCAAGGATGCCCTGTGAGAAGGTTGCTACCTCCACGTACGGAAGAGAACTCTATGCTCTCAGGCAGGCTTTAGACCATTGGAAGCACTATCTGCTTGGGAGGCACTTGAAAGTGTATTCTGACCACGAGACACTTCGTTGGTTAAAGACACAGGCCAAGATGACACCTAAGTTGACTAGGTGGGCCGCAGAGATAGACCAATTCGACTTTGAGCTCAAGCCAGTAAAGGGCAAATACAACGTAGTTGCGGATGCTCTGAGTAGGAGATCAGACTACTTTGGAGCCGTAGTACACTATCTGGATATAGGGAGAGATCTGCAGGAGAAAGTGAGGCAAGCATATGCGCAGGACCCTATCTATAACGGCCTCCTAAAGAAAGGTAGAGAGGCCCCAGAGACTGAACCAGATTACCGCACTACAGACGGGTTGCTGTTTGATAAGAGTAATGTGTTTGACCGCCTGTGCGTTCCCAACAGCGAAGAGATCCGCAGTTTGACTTTAGGGGAACGCCACGATACTGAAGGGCATTTCGGTTGGCAAAAGACATTAGCCAATCTGATGCGTGCGTATACCTGGCCAGGGATGAAGAATGACTGCATAGAGTATGTCCGCAGTTGTAAAGTGTGCCAGAGGAATAAGTCTACTACACGCGCGCCCCTAGGTCTTCTCAGACCCTTGCCTATTTCGGATCAGCCGAGAGACTTCGTGTCCATAGACTTCATGGACACCCAAGTGAAGAGTAGACATGGTAAGAGCCAAGTCATGGTCGTAGTTGACCGCTTTAGCAAATATGCAGTTTTCGTTCCTTTGCCTGCAGAGGCACGTACGGACTTAGTTATACATAAGTTTTTTGACTTTTGGGTTAGTGAGAATGGAATCCCATTGTCAATAGTTAGTGATAGAGATAGTCGTTTCACCAGCCAGAACTGGCAAGAACTCATGAGAGTTTGCGGATCTAAGTTGCTAATGTCATCTGGCCGTCACCCAGAGACTAACGGTCAAACAGAACAAATGAACAAGATCCTACAGCAAGTTCTGCGCATGTACATTAGACCAGATCAGATTAACTGGGATGAGACATTGCCTAAGGTAGCTAGTGCATACAACAACAGTGTGCATCTATCCACCTGCCGCACTCCCAATGAGTTGCACAAGTCCTTTAGACCACGCAGACCGTTCGAAGGACTGAACCGGGATCAGATTCACAGATTACCGCCCGGTACCAGGGAGTTTGCAATACAACACTAGAAAGAACTAGCCACTGTTGTTGAAAACCTAAGGAAGGCCCAGCATAGGATGATAGAGCAAGCTAATAAGCACCGACACCCGTCGCAGTTTCAGGTAGGCGACTTAGTCTAGGTCAAGGCTAAAGAGTTTGCACCTGAGGAAAACATCTCGCAGAAGTTACTGCCCGCATATAGAGGACCGTGGCCGGTTCTAGAAGTCAAGGGCGGAGAGGATGAACCGTCCTATAGCATTGAGATTCCAGCACACCTACACACATACCCTGTGTTTCATGCTTCGAAGTTGTTGCCGTGTGTCACAAGTCAACAGTTCCCTTTGAGAAGATTCATGATCCCCCCGGATATGGATGGAAGTTATGACATTGAAGGCATTGTAAATGAGGATGTGTTCAGAACAAGAGGTAGAGGTCGTCCCCAGAAACAATATAAGGTCCGTTTTGCTTATCAGGAACCGGAAGACGACCGCTGGTTCACGAAAACAGAACTTCTAGAAACTGCTCCCGACATAGTCAGAGCCTATGAACGTGACAAGAAAGGTAAAGGTCCC